CACAAGCACTGATAAAAGACATACAGACCTCTGGCGCTTTGCCAAGGACTGGTGGAATCACATCGGCTGGCACCAGAAGCCGAAGCAACCAAGCGATTCTCGTGGCAGATCTATGCACATGCTACAGATGAGTACCAAGCCTTACGGCCCACCACTCAATCTACGTCTACGCCCTTCTCGTCTTCGACATTTCCTACAGGCCGCGTCACCACCATGGCCACCGACGGCGGACGCGGCAACCCCAGTGCGCGAGCGCTTCTTCCCTAGCCCGCCCCCTCCCACCCCACCTTCTCACGATGCCTTCCGGCCCAAGTCCGATTGTGATGCCTCCAGACATTGAGCTCACCTATGTGGCTCCTTGTTAGTCGGCACTACTGACGAGCAAAGATGGTAGATGCCACCCCACTTTTGCGCGGTATCCAGATCGGCTAGTAGCAATGGGAATTCTATGTAGGATCACCTCTGAAAACCGAACGTCGCGGCAGGAGCCGACTCGCGATCGCATTACGAATGACAACACGCACAGCTTGTCTTTTTTTTCTTTTTTATCTTCCTCCCACATCATTCGATGTATGAGTCATGCAGCTAGACGAGTCTTGCAGCAATTATGGTATAAAAACCGTCAAATATCCATTACCACTTAGAAGAAAGGCTAGCCAGATACAAAGTGTCAGACGTATCAGCCGGCCGGCTGGTAATCAAGCTCTCGCAGCCACACGTTGGTTCGGAGATACTGGCGCATATCTTCTCTTCTCTGAAACTCGGAAAACAAAGGGTGGTTCTCATCCATCCGAAACCCGCCCGCAAGGTCGTAAAGGACGTCCCGCGTTGCATTTGCAGCAGATACTGCGAAATCGGTCAGAAAGTGATCATCACCGAGAACACAGAGCGTACCGAGGACCAACATATCTCCCATGTTTCCAAGTGCGTCGGGTGATGTGCGGCCGAACAAATTAGACGCTTCGCCCCATAGGCTGGCTGTGAGGTCAGGGCTGCCGACATAAAGCCGCGCTCTTGTGCCAAAGTCCTTCACGCGAGTCGGTTCACCGCGTGATCGGTTGCTGCCGCCGTGGAGATGCTTGTTGATCAGCCGCTCGGCGTCGGCCGTGCTCAGGACATGTGTCGGGGCGCACGCAGCAATCTGCTCGTCACTGGCACACTCTGGTAGCAGAGTCTGGAGATCGCCGACGGACATCCCCTGTGTCTTTGTGTCCAAGAAGATGGAAATCTCGAGGATCTGTTCGCAACCAGTCAATCACGTCGACCAACAGGAATGGCTAGGTCACAATGTACGTACGTAGC